GCGACAGAAATATAAAAATGAAACTATCCTTGCCTTCAAGGAGTTCAATTAATCAAGCATTTATTAAGTACCTACTATGTGCAAGGAGCTGGCAATAATAGATAAAGGTGAAACAGTCTCTGCCCTCAAGGAATTTCTGTCCCTAGTTCTTTCAAATGATCCCCATAAAACACAGTTCCCAGTCCTCTCAATGGCTTAGTCACCACCCTCTGGGCATTCCTGCTTGTCAATGTGCCTCCTCCAATATGGTGCCCAGGACCAGACACAATATTTTAGGTGGGTCTGGCTAGGGTAGGAGACAATGGGACTTTCACCTCACTCCATCTGGAAAATGGCCTTGGTTTCTTTGGCTCCAAATTACACTGCTGGGGAGTCACAACGAACAAGGTGTTTTCCTTTCACATACGTATTACTATTCAGTCATGTCCTCATCCATCTTGTACCTAAATTTAAAAAATTAACCGGACTGAAGAATTTTATATTTACTCTTAAATTCAATTCTTCATGTCATATAGATCTGCTAATGGGTCAAACATGGACCAGAATCATAGCAGTTGAGAGGGCCAAGATAGGCTGTAATCTGCACCAGTCGGCAGAGCTCCCAGACCACCGAGGTCACAGATCCCACATATCCAACTAGATTCAATCTTGTTTGCTTTGGTCCACTCTTCAAAGAGCTCTTAATTCTTTCAGGAGTGCCAATGGAATTCTCTCCCTTCTGAAGAAAATTCTCTTTTTCTAGATGAAGAAACAGAAAAGGAAAGATCGGCCCTTCTTCTAGGCAAGGGCTGGGGAGCACGTCACTTTGAACAGGGGATGGCAAAGGCCATGAATCATACTAGAGGGGGTACTGTCATTCTGTATGCAAACAGTTCCCATGGCTCTTCTCTGTGGCAACCCAGCAAAGGAGGCCAGGGGAGGCAGCTGGCTCATCTCCTTTGGAGGATGCTCCAAGCAGCAGCTGCAAGGCCAGGAATTCCTACACCAGCAGAACACAGCCGCCACCTTGGGCCCCACACAGCAGTTTCCCAGCTAGCTCTTGGGACACAAGTGGTGGTGTGGGGAGGGGCAGTTCTGACCAAGGACGCCAGACTCTAGACCAAGGAGAAGTTGGTCCAGAGGTCGCTGGCACAGGCAGAAAGAAACTTCCATCTCAATTTCTATCTGGTTAACCAAGAGAAGGCAGAAACTACCCTAGGGTCCTGTCTTCTCACACAATCACCCTTGCTGCATCTCAACCCCAAGGGCTGAAGTGGTTTAATTAAGCACAATACCCAACTGAACATCAATCCCAGGGGGAAATGGTGAAGACAACCATGGACATAGGATTCCTAGGCTTTGATCTGAGCTTTGTTACTACTTCCTTATGTGAGCAGATAACTAGATGGTTCAGATATCAGATAGCTAACTGCTAGCATTTGGATGGATAGAGCACTGGACCAGGATTCAGGAAGATCTGAGTTCAAATCTGGCTTTATTCACTTATTAGCTGTGTGACCTGAGCAAATCACTGAATTTCTATCTGCCTCAATTTCCTCATCTATAAAAACAGAGATAGGGGCAGCTAGGTGGCACAGTGGACAGAATATGGGGCCTGGAGTCAGGAAGACTCATCTTCCTGAGTTCAAATCTGTCCTCAGACAACTACTAGCTATGTGACTCTTTCACTCTGTGAACCTTGAAGTGATTTATAAATGCTAGCAATTATTGTTATTATTATTATCATTATATTATTTAAACTCGAAGGTCACCTGAAGGCCATTTGACATAGGTTAATTCCTCATCACCAATAAATGTTCATGTGGGGACAGAAACTTTTGAATGGCAAAGATGAGCAAAATTCTCAGGCAAATTACTTAAGTTAGTAACCAGACTCATAAGGAACAGCTGATAACCACACTCTCTTTCTGGTCTGGTTCCAAATAATGAGAGTTGTCCAAAAATGGAATGGGTAATGAGTTCCCCATCACTGGAGTTCTTCTAGTACTGGCTGGGTCATCATTGGCCAGAGATGTTGCAGAGGGAACTTCTACTCAGATATGAGTTCAAATCCCTGAATTGAGGGTGGAAGGAGCTGGAAGGGGCCTCTGAGGCCATCTAATCCAAACTCATCAATTTAAAAGTGAGGAAACTGAGGCCGAAGTGGATAGAGCACTGGGCTTGGAATCAGAAAGACTCATGTTCATGAAATCAAATTTGGCTTCAGACACTTACTAGCTGTATGACCCTGGGTAAATCACTTAACCCCGTTTGCCTCAGTTTCCTCATCTGTAAAATGAACTGGAGAAGGAAATGAGAAACACTTCAGTATCTTTACCAAGAAAATCCTAAATGGGGTCACAAAGAGTTGGACGTGACTGAAATAACACAGCAACCAACGAAGGCCCTCCAAAATTAAGTGATTTGTGTGTCCCCAGGTCACACAGGGGACAAATGGCAGAGCTGGGATTCAATCCCTGGGCACCTAACTTTAAATCCAGTGCCCTTTTCACTATACTCAATGAACTAGAAGCCCTATGGGCTCTTTTCTAGCTCTGAAATTCTGGCCACAGGTTTCAAAAAGTCCATGGTCAACCTCACCTAATAAAACAGCTGTGTCACCAAGGTAAGTCTATGTAAACTGGAACTTTGCAAACTAAATCAATACAAGAAAGGTTCATAATTTAACACGGGAGCTCCATGTTTAGGCCTGCTATAAATACTTCCTACTCACATTTATTAAGTATGTAATCTGTGTGCAAGAAGGCCCAGAGTCCTTGTCTGTTTAACTTCTTCTCCCCAAATCCCCCAGGCTCCCTTCCTACCCACACCCTATTCATCCTTTATTACATTATTTCTTCTATATTTCAAAGAGCTGATTTCTTTGGGGTTGGCACTCTCTCCACCAATGGCTCACAAGCTCACTGTGGTTTAGCAAGTTACCTTCTGGGTGGCTGTGGCCCAGAACACTCAACACCCCAGGCTGACCTGTTAATGATGAGCCTTCCCAACTTGGCTTATCTGGCCTTGGTCAAGAGACACAGGGTCTCTCATAAGGCCTATATTTAAAACCTTTCTAGCTTAGGTGAAGTGGACAGAATTTCTACTCTCCTGGAACAACCTTTAAGAACCCAGCGGCTCCTTCCTCCATGCATGAGGAATCAGAATAGGATTTATTTTTATTACTAATTATAGATGCAATCAATCATAGAATAAGCACTCCCTGAGGGTAGGGAGGGCAGACTACTGTCCTCCAGCTGGGCCAGGGTGGTTTCTCAGGGTATTGGCTGGGTACCCAGTAGGGGCAGACCCAGCTTGGGCATTAGGAGAAGACTCCTTAGAAGACATGCTCAGAATGCTTCCATAGGGAAAAGAGAGATGCTTCCTTCATCACTTGAGATGGGGTTTCCTGTGTGACCAAAACAAGGCCAATCCTAGAGACTCTGCCCTTCTAAAGTTTACAGAGGACTGATTTCTGGGAATGCAAGGGAGCTGAAAACCCATAGAACCAAGTTTGATCCTGCCTTGCAGACACCTAGAGTATGGTATAAGAGAAATCTAGACCTGGAATCAGGAGATATAAGTTCAAATCTCAGCTCGGACACTCATTACAAGTATTGAAGAACTCAGGCAAGTTATCATACTCATCTGTAGCAGATATAATTATTTTTCACTTCCTACCCTCAAAGGGCCATCATGAGGAAAGCATTTTACAAACCAGAAAGCACTACAGAAATATAAACAATTACTATTATTAATGACCAGAGCTGCTGATAATCGAGGAATAAATATGTATCCAACAGAGACCAGGGCCCTGCATAATAAGCCCCTGAGACAGAGGAACTTGCTAGGGTAGAACTTCTGCCGACAGACGCTGAGTACCCTACCATTGTCCCCCTGTTGCACACGTGAGGCATCCCCCCCACCCCCACCCCCCACACATTGAACATATATCATAGAATCCCAGAATCTCAAGCTTAGGAAGGACTACAGACTTCTCTGGTCCAACTTTCCCATAAAGAAATCCTTCAATGATTTCCCTGAGAGGAAGCCATCTAATCTTGGCTTGGATGATGTTACCTTGTAGTAATGGGGAACTCAGTACTTAGTGAGGCAGTGCATTCTACTTTTGAACAGATCTAATTTTTAGGAAATTTTTCCTTTTGAGAGACAGGATGAAGTAATGCATGGAGAACTAGCCTCAAAGCCATGGAAGGTCCAGGTTCAAGTTTGATTCACATCACACATGGGTGCTGTGACCCCATACCAGTCACTTAATTTCTTGGTGCTCTAGGCCAGAATTGTCAAACAGACTCTGGGTCCAGACACCAGATTAAAATGCAATTGGGAAATATTTAACAAAATAAATAAAAATATAATAGAACATAGATAATGCTCCTGGGAGTTCCCTGTACCAATAAAAATCACAGGACCAGTTTCTATCTCTTTCTGAAATGAAACCTACCTCCCTATAACTTATAGGATTTCAACTTAGAAGCAGCCAAATGTTTGTTGTTCAGTCATTTTTCAGTCGTGTCCAGCTCTTTGTGACTCCTTTTGGGGTTTTCTTGGCAAAGATACCAGAGTGGTTTGCCATTTCCTTCTCCAGCTCATTTTACAGATGAGGAAACTGAGGCAAGCGGAGTTAAGTGACTTGCCCAGGGTCACACAGCTAGCAAGTGTCTGAGGTCAGATTTGATTTCAAGAAGATGACTCTTCCAGACTCCAGGCCTGGCACTCTATCTACTGTGCCACCTCGCTACCTGTAGGCCAGACAGACCAGATCTAATCCCCTCTACACAAGATAATCAAATTCCCACCATATTATTTCACTTTCTTCCCAGGCATTCCTAACACTTAGCACATAATGGCTGGCCTACATAAAAAACTTAATAAAGGAGATGACTGATACATGAAGGCAACGATTGTCAACAAGCATCTGCCTTCCTTACCCTCATGTAGTCAACTGGTGAAAGGACCAGAAGGAGCCCCTGTCTACCCACTGCACAGCCCCTGCTTACCTCTGCTTGGGATCCTTTTTCAGCAACCCCGACAAAAGAGACTTGGCATCTGGGGAGAGCGTTCGGGGAAATCGGATCTCCTCCATGAGGATCAGCTCAAACAGCTTCTCGTGGTCCTGGTTGTAGAAGGGCAGCCGGCCACACATCATCTCATACATCACCACTCCCAGGCCCCACCAGTCCACTGCCCGTCCATAGTCATTGTCTTCTAGCACCTGTGGGGCAAGGAGTCAAGGGTGAGTGCCAACTCCAAAGAGATTCCAGAGTTAGGACTTGAACTCCGGCCTCTACATTCAGTCCAATGGTCTTTCCCACGACGGTGCCTTGCCAAGGAGCTCGCTACCTTTCTTCATTAGCCCCTCCTGGGTTAATTCTCTGGGTTCCTCGGGTTGGGAGGAGGACAGAATGAAGCAGACCTGGTTTCTGACACCCACATGCACTGTCGTCCTCTTTCTAAGTTTTCTTCTTCATAATCCCTGTCCTTCCAATATCAATCTCCCAGCACGCATTCACTAGTTACCTACTTTGTACCAAGTAGTATAGATAAAAAGGCAAAAACGAAAAAACAGTCCCTGCTCTCAAGGAGTTTACATTCTACTAGGCAATCATTGAGGGTGACGGGCCAAGGTGGAGGGTGGATTGGACTGTCCTCAGGAAGCCTTGCACAGCTGCTGTTGAGGATTAACAGCGATAACAGAGGGACAGTGTACAGAGTACAGTGGAGTGGAGAGAATGCTGGGCATGGAGAGACAGAGGTTCAAGCCCCAGCACTGACCTTTATGAGCTGGGTGAACCTGGACAAGTGGCTTAAGCTTCAAACTCAGTTTCCTCATCAATAAAATGATGAGACTAATGCTTTTACTACTTACCTTGTAAGACTATAGTGAGTTAAGTGTTTGATAAACTAGGCCTTGTTACTATGACTATTATTGGGAAACAGCTTTGGGAAGTACCGTATGTATAAATGCACTAGGTGGGCACAAGGCATAAATGAGATTCTTCAAATGGACCCTTCTAAATATGAAGGGTAATATTTACACAGAAAGAAATTAATCTTCACTGTTTAAGACTCAGAATCATTAGAAAGAAACCTCTGATCCAACCTCTCATTGAGTCAAGAATCCCCTCCACAGCCTCTGACTGACAGTCACCCAGTTTCTGCTCAAATACCTCCAGAGACAGGAAGCTCATTACCTTACAGAAGTGAGCACTCTAGCTCTCTCCCTCACATACAGGAATACCTGATACAGTCTCCTGGCAGGGGGTTCTCTAGTTTTTGTTTGAAGAATTTCAGTAACACTGAACAGAAAACAGAGTATCAGAGCTGGAAGAGAACTCAGAATCTATTACCTAGTCCAGGGGTGGGGAACCTGCATCCTCGAGGCCACATGTGGCCCTCTAGGTCCTCAAGTGTGGCCCTGAATCAGTCAAAGGGCCGCACTTGAGGACCTAGAGAGCCACATGTGGCCTCAAGGCCGCAGGCTCCCCAGCCCTGATCCTAGTCTAACCCTCTTATCATAAAAATAAGGGAATGGAGGTAGAAAGGGTTTGGGGAAAGGATGGCCCACAATCACACAACATATAAGCAACAGAGCTTCTAGGTTCTTAGTCCAGTGGTCTTTCCCACTATGGTACCTTGCGAAGGAGCTCACTACCTTTCTTCATTAGCCCTTCACTGGGTTCAGAGGACTGGAGTCCAGAATGAAGGAATTGGCATTTCTTAATTAATTGGTATTGGCATTTCTGCCAAGCACTACCCATGTGACCTTGAACAAGTCTCTTCTCTTTCCTAGGACTATTTTTCCGGTTATAAAATGAAGGGGTTAGAATGACAATATAAAAGGAAAGACTAAAAATAGAATCGAATATTATGTAATTATAATGACCAAGTTTGGCCCTGGAGAAGAGAAGCACTTCCTTCCCTTCTTTGCGAAGGTGGGGGATTATGGGTGTGGAATACTGCATATACTGTCAGACATGGCTAACATGCTGGCTGACGTCACTCAACTGCATTGCATTCTTTTCTTTTATAGGAGATGGATGAGGGGGAAGGGGAGGGAGATATATTCAATTCAGAAATGAAGGTGACATGAAAAGAAAAGTGAGTTTCTAATGTTTCTTCCAGTTCTAAATCCTCTAAGGGAGATTTGATGGTGTGGCCCACAAGGTCCCCAGTATAGCTCTCTCTAGGCTATCATTGAGCACTCAGGGGACGGGGGAAGGGCCACGATGCTTCTCAGAAGGTTGGGGTTGAGGATCAGGTTACCAGTCCCTCTGCTTTTCCCCTCCCACCCCCTGCCTCAGGTCTATTTACAGCCTCTCTGGGTAATTCATCCTAATAGGACAGCTGTCACTGCAGCTGCCCAGAGAACACTGACCAACACAGCTGCCCAGCCTCTCCCCACTGCGATTCCTAGATTCCCAGAGCCTGAGTCGGCCTAACAGGAGGTCACGGTAGTGTCTCCAATTCTTTGAATCATAGCCTCTCCTGATCTGCCCCAGACCTTTAAAGTGACAAAGACAACCACGCTATCTCCCCAGGTAGACATAATCCACTCGCTCACATTACAGCCATACAACCACATGCATAACTATATTTTCTCATAGGCTCAGAGGTAACAATCTTACTTCCTCCACAGTTCTGCCACCACATATACCTTTACACCACTCCCTTTCCAGGCAGACACAACCATACCCCCTCCTCTTTCATACACACAATAACACATGCCTCACATCTTGACACACTTACTTCCTCATACCAGTATATGACCAGCCATGTACTTACATGGTGAAATACATCAACACTTTTAGACATGGGGACACACACACACACACACACACCCCCAAGCCCTGAGACAGCCCTCTCCCCCTATACCTTTTCCTACAGGATTCTTCCAAGGAATCCCCTCTCTTCCCTTGGCTTTCACAACAAAGCCCTTTTCCCAATTCTACACTTTTGCTCACACCATCCCCAATATTTCAGCTGTCCCTTCCTCCCTCCACCTGCTGAGATCCTTCTTTTAAAACCTATCTCAGGTGCCGCAAACTCCACCAAACCTTTTGATTCTCCTAACTAGAAATAATTGCTCCTTTTTTCAAATTTCTCAAAGTACTTTGACCTTCAGTACTTATCACCTTCTAATTTATGTATTTATTTCCAGGCTATAGAATACATGCTTGGTTGTACTGCATCACATGGAGAAAAGACAGAGAGAGGGGATGTGATATCTGTCCTCAAATATTTGAAGAAATGTCACAAAAAAGAAGGATTAGACTGGCTCTGCTTGGCCCCAGAGGACAGAACGAGCAATAATTAGAGAAAGTTGCAGAGGCAGATTTAAGCACCATGTGAAGGAAAACCCTCCTAACAACCAGAGCCATCCCAAGTGGGATGGCCTGCCTTGGGACTCTAGGTGGGCTCTGCTTCAATGGAGGACCTCAAACAGAGGCCAGAAGATAACTCTGGGGGCTCTGATAGAAGGGATTCTTGCTTCAGTTGGGACTGGATTGGATGACCTCTGAGAATCTTCTCATTCTATAATTCTATATTCATTTAAGTATATGTTTTATCTCCCTAAGCAGATTGTAAAGTCCATGAGGGCAAGGACTGTGTCTTAAGAATCACAGAATTTGACACTTGGAAGGCCACTTTCCATATAATTCAATCCATTTCTTCCCTTGAGGCAGGTTCAATGTGTAATGTCTGGGGTAAAAGGAACTCCCTTCCCCCTTCAAAAAACAGCCTTTCCAGAAAGATCAGTAAAGAGAACAGTCTTGGATCTTCCACTTTCCCTTCTCTGGGTCTCAGTTTCACCACCTATAAAATGAGGGTAAATAGAATCACAGAATCTCAGAGCTAGAAAGAACCCCAGAAACCTCTAGCCCAACTTATAACCAAGCACAACAAATCTCTCCCTCTAGAATGTGTCCCCAACAAATGGCCGCCCGATCTCTGTTTGAAGACCAGGTGGTGGTTTAAAGTTAGGTGGTGGAGTCTACTTTCCAACAGTTCTAATTATAAGAATCTTTTTCTTTATATCCAGCCAAAAGATGCCTCCCTCTATCTTCACACCATTGTTCCCTGTTCTGCCCACTACTGAATTCTAGTAATAATCCCTTTTCCTGGTGCCCTCAAAGACCCATAGGTATGATCAACAAGTATTCACATTTCGATAGGGCTCAATAAAGGCTAGGGAGCATTGGGACAGAGCTAAGGTCACAGAACCAGAGAATTCCAACCATATCTGAACAAACATCCCTTTCTACAATATCCCTGACAAGTAAGTGGTCATCCTCCCTGTGTCTGAATACCTCTAGTGACAAGGAACTCACCACCTACTGAAGTAACCCATCCTGCTTTTGGATAGCTCAAATCTTCCCGACAATTAGAGCAGCCCAGAATATGAATGGCATTAGCTCATAGTTAATTTCCAGACCAGAGGGTGATCAGGGGCAGTGAACAAGTGAAACAGCATGTCCCTTCTCAAACCCAATTTAAGCCAGCAATCACAGAATGTAGAATCTCAGTGCTCAAAGGGCCAATGGTGTCATTTTACAAACGGGAAAATTAAATCCCAGAGAGGAAAAAGATACAATCTAATTCAACTCCTTCATTTTAAAGAAAGAAAAACTGAGACTCCAGAGATGGTAGCAAAGCCACCTTACTATATACGTGGAAGGGGGGATGGGAAGTAAAGGTGCCAGATGGGAGATTCTTGGCTGCTGTGACCCAACAATGATGAAGGTAAAGAGAGTGCTGGGATCATCGTTTCGAGACACAGAAAACTGGACTGCCAGAGCTCATGCCCTAGCAGGGACTGAAGTAATACAGGAGAAGCAACTGGTCCAGATGCCAAGAGACCAGCCCTTTGAGTTCAGTGACTTTGAGTAAAGGACAGATTATCCAAGACAAAGTAAAAAATCAGATGTTGGTGAGGGACCATAGTGCTTTATATAACCTTCCCTTATTGAAGGAAGAAGGGAAGAAACAAGCATTTATTAAATGCCTACTATGTGCCAGGCACTGTGCTAAGCACTTTACAAGTATTATTCCATTTGATCCTCAGAACAATCCTGAGCAACAGGTGCTATTATTATCCCAATTTTATAGAAGAGGAAACTGAGACAAACAGAGGTTAAGTAATTTATCCAGAGTCACACAGCTAATAAATGTCTGAGGCCAGACTGCAGGCCCAGTATTCTATTACCGCTCCACCTAGCTACTATTATTGATTATTGCAGGAAAGGAAGCAGATGTCATTTAATCTTTTCCTAAGCACCTCTGGTGATGGGAAGCTCACTATCTTCCAAGGTAGGAGCCCTGGCATTGCTTCCCTTCCCACCTAATGAATTCCTAACAATCTTTTAAAGTCCAAATATAATGCCACACCCTATAGGAAGCCTCCCCTGACTCCTTCTGTCATGATATCTGCTTCCCTTGGACTTTACACAGCATTTTTTTATAGTTCTCTAATGCACTAATTTTGTGATATCGTAAATTATAATTTTCTGTTTGCATCCTATCGCCTTTCTGTGTTTTATCTAAATTGTGTAGGTCTCCCAGCACCCAATACTGAACTTATCCACCAAAAAAGTGGGTAGACCCAAAGAGGAAAAAAAACACACCACATACACACACACACATAGACATACACAGCTCATGACTGGGAAAGAGGCTAGTAAAAAAACATAAGCTCTTATCATCCAAAATTTCTAGGAAATTGATATTTATTTATATGACTAAGAGCCATTCTTCAATACACAAGTGGTCAAAGGATATGAACAACCAAAAAAAAGAAAAGAAAAGAAAAGAAAAAAAAGAAAAAGAAATACAAACTACCAATCACTCCTTGGGAAAAAAATGTTCAAATCACTAATAAACAGAGAAAACTAAAATTCAAACAACCCTTAAGTACTACCTCACATTCATCAAGTTAACAAACAGGGAAAAGCATCATGTTGCAGAGGCCAGAGGCAGGCATGCTAATTCCCTGCTGGTAGAGCTTTGAATTGGTTCAACTATTCTGGAAAACAATTTGGAGTTACACAAGAAAAATTACTAAATTGTTCATATCCTTTGACCCACAGATTCCACTAGTATTAGTACTAGCCTGAGTATACTCCAGGAGGTTACTGACAGCAAGAAAAAAGCCAAACGTACAAAAATATTCAGAGCACCATTATTTGTAACAGTCAATACGAATTTATTAAGCACCTACTGTGTGCCAGGCACTGTGTTAAGTGCTGGGGATACAAAGAAAAGCAAAAGGCAGTCCCTCCTCTCAAAAGAACACAAAAAAAGCTGGAAACAAAATATGTAACCAATGATGGTGCAATTGCTTAAATTCTAGTATGTGATTAACAAGGGACAACAAAAATGAACAATTCAGTGAAACCTGAGAAGACTTCAAAATGATACAGAGTGAAAGCCACAGGCCTAACAACATATACAGTAACATTATACATAATGACCATAACAATGAAGGACAACAAAACTCTGATCAAATACAAAGTTACATTAGTACCATCCTCTCAAAATCAAGACACATCTTAGGATGGAAACTGGGGGATACTTTGGAAGGGGGTTTGTTGGGAAGCTCTGTCACATTAGAACAAAATGTGTCAATTTTTTTTTTTTAAAAAGGGAAGGGGATTATTTAAGTCAGAGAGGAAAAAGCTACAAGCAGGATTAGAGCAACCTTTTGGCCTCTGCAGGGTATTTATACCCAGAGCACTTAGCAGGTGTTTTTAGTTTCCTATAAAAGGAAATGGGTTATTTATAGCAGCTCTTTTTGTGGTGGCAAAGAATTGGAAGTTGAGGGAATGCCCATCAATTGGGGAATGACTGAACAAGTTGTAGTATATGATTGTGATGGAATGCTATTATGCTATAAGAAATGATGAGCAGGATGCTCTCAGAAAAACCTAGAAAGACTTACATGAACTGATACAAAGTGAAATGAGCAGAACCAGAAGAATATTATAGTGACAGCAATCCTACATGATGATCTATTATGAATAACTTAGCTATGCTCAGTAATACAATGATGTGAGACAATTCTGAAAGGTGCTGTCCATCTCCAGAGAAAGAACTGGTGGAGCCTGAAAGCAGAACAAAGATACTTTTTCTTTACCTTCTTTATTTTTCTTGTTTTGTTTTGTTTTGTTTTGGGGGGGGGGGTAGTCTGTGCTTTCTTTCACAGCATGACTTACATGAAAATGTATTTTGAATGACTACACGTGTATAACAATACGTCAAATTGTTTGCCTTCTCAATGAGAGGGAGAGGAGAGGGAGGGAGAGAATTTGGAACTCAAAATTTGAAAAAAAGACTGTTAAAGTTGTTTTTACATGTCATTGGGAAAAATAAAATATTTTGAAAAAGAAAATGGGTTTAGTTGATAGCATAAGTTCCTTTAGTGAGGCACTGAGAAGTAATCTCTAACCACGGGTCATTGAAAGATGACATAGAACCAAGATCACACTATTGTGGGATCTTATTGATGGCAGGAACACATCTGACTTCATCTAAACCCTCTATCTCCTCCAACGCGGAGCATGTTCTACACATATCAGGTTCAATAAATATTTATCAAAGCCACAAATCTCCCAGGAAAGCAAAGTTGGAACACAAAGCAGCTGGCCTAGAAATCACAGTTAGTCAATAAGCATTTATTAAACACCTATATAAAGAATGGTAAAAGACAGCTTATCTCCCAAGCTCATCAACTCCAACCCCCTCACTTTGCAAGTGGGGAAACTGAGGCCCATAAAAGAAAAGAGACAGGGAGGCAGGGAGACAGAGTTAACTCACCTCAGGGGCCAGATATTCTGGAGTCCCACAGAAGGTCTTCATCGTAGCACCATCTTTGATCCCCTCCTTGCACAGACCAAAGTCGGTGATTTTGATGTGACCATCTTTGTCCAGCATTAGGTTTTCCAACTAGGCAGGAGAAGTCCAAATTAAGAGCAAGGTTAGAATGATAGACTGGACCGAAGAGAAGACAAAACATCTGACCTCAGAACAGAGAATGTCATACCTCACTGACTCTCACCCCAACCCTGTTTTACTTACGGAACTGAAGCCCAGAAAGGGGACTCACCCAAGGTCACCCGCCTAACTAGTTGACAGAATTGTGGCTAGAACACCAAATCTCCTGATTCCCAGGCAAGGAACTCTTCCCACTGCACCCCAGCTATTAACCCCTACGGAATAAAAAGCAGGGGGTTTTGCCCAGAGACAAAGACAGATGTGGCAACTAAGCCCCAGAAGAGAGCCAAAAACCACAGGGAAAAGTCTTCCAAAGCTAGGCTTCCCTGTCCTAAACACCCTACCCCTTTTGACGGCCCTCCCTCCCTCAACGCCCTACAGCTGTGTGGATGTCCATTCTCCACGGCCCCATTCCACGCTGCCTTGAGTTATTGTCTTAGTTACTAAATTAGGTGTTCCTTGAGCACAGGATCAGGTCCTTCCTTCTCTGACTCTTCAAAAGCAGTGAGCACAAAGTTTACCCATTGGTGCTCAGGAAATAAATACAAGAGTCACTGAATAACTTGCAAAAATGGACACAAAAGTGCCTTGGGTTATAGAAATCATGACATTAATAAAGGCTGATAAAAACATATTTGCATGGAGTTTTATAAATATAATTGAAAGGGTTTTAAAATGAAAGGGAGAAAGAAAAGGAAAAAAACTAAGAACATCTACAAGCCAGAAAAGAAAGAGAGCAGACACATGCGTAGGAAGAAGGAATGCCCAGAAATTAACAAGAAACAAAATCCAAGGAAGGAGATAGCCTTGACCTCAGATGCCTATATAGAAATGCACAAAGACTGGGTGGCCAGCAAGCTGAAAGAGACACCCTAACATAATAAAGCAGACAGGACCGATACATATCACTGTCAATTGGTGAGTGGAGATCCATGAGTGGAACATGGCTCTAGAAGGGTAGATCTTATTTAAAAATAACAGGACAGGTAAAAATGGGCAAGGAAGGGAGGTGGGTGGAGGAGAGGACTCAAAACAGCAGGATACAAATGATATCAAATCCAGGAGGGGTGGGGCAGGAGGGAAGGTGAGAGTTTGGAACTGAAAATTTTTAAAAATTAATAGTAACATATTTTAATGCAATTGGGAAAGATGCAATAAAATAAAAATATATTGTTTAAAAAGGAGAAATAGAGGTATATATTAAAAAAGATAAACTCAGGTGAGGAGATCCAGGAACCAGGTAAGAATAGGGAAACTTGGGGGGGGGGCGGCAAGCCTTTGGAGTAAGATCAACAAAGGCAGAAATAGAATCAATATTGTCACTGGAGTATGTTGGAGACTACAAGCATAGTACGGAGACATGATATAGTGAGGGGGGACTTCAAGCAGTTGGATGTCTGCTAAAGTTCTCTCCCTCACTCTTCTCCAAGTAGGATAGATAATAAGTTCTTGGCTCGTCAAATTGCATCCTTCTAAAGGTGGAAGAACTAACGAGAGGAAGTGCTATTCTTGACCTTATTCTCACCAAGAAGGAGGAACTGATTGACATAAAAAATATGGGAACCAAGGGGGGGGACTTCCATCTTAGAAGTCTGATAGAGAAGGAGAACAAAGAGTGACACACAAATATGATATCTAATCTAGGTTTTAGGAAAGCGGATTTCTAAGGGTTCACAGAAAGGCCAGGTAGGATCCAATGGCCTGATAATAATCTGCAGGGCAAGTCGGTCTAACTGGAAAAGGAAGGCAGCTAGGTAAGAGGAAAACTGATGAATGGGTGGAGTGACGGGTTGTTACACTGAGTATTTCTGGTAATCCAGAAATATTTTGATGTACAAAATATAGAGGGGATTACCACAAGTTGCCCAAACATTACAGATTTCAATTTGAAATTATGTAGAAAAAGTAAACCATCCTTACTCTCTGACTCAGCTATTCCACTACTGGACTTACGCTCCAAAGGAAGCAGACAAACAAAGGTCCAGTATATGCCCAAATGTTAACAGCAGCATTCTTTGTGGTAGCAAAGCATTGGAAATAGACCAAGTGCCCATTGACTGGGGAACAGTTTTAAAAAAGTTTTGAATGCAATGGAATATTATTATGTAGTAAGAATGAGAAATACAAGGAATTCATAGAGTCCAGGGAAGATTTGCATGAACCAATACAGAACAAAACAAGCAAAACTAAGAAAATACTACATACAATGATTACAACAAGGTAAACAAAAAGATCACTAAAAAGAAGTTGAATTTGGAATAATGGAAAAATTAACAAAAGCCCGAGAGGAAAAAAAAATCAAATATACCTTTTCTCCTGGAAGCTACTAGAACAAATTTTTATATGCACAGACATTGTCAGATAAAGTCTCTGTATCAGATGTTTTGCTTAAATTTTTTTCCTTGTCACAAAGGAGGGTTGGATCTAGAAAAAGGGTGGAAAATGTGATGTAAAGAATAGGGAGAGTTAGGTGGAGGAGTAGGTAGAGTGTGGGACTTGGGAGTCAGGAAGATCTGAGCACGAATCCTATCTCGGACAGCCAGCTGTATAACTCTGGGCAAGTGACAATCTCCATTTCCCTCAATTTACTCCGCTGCAAAATAGGGAAAATAATAAAATCTACCTCATAGGGCTATTGTAAGGGTCAAATGAAATAACATGCAAAATGTTTTGCAAATCTCAAAGCATTATATAAATGCTATATTATTATACTATAATGTATCATATAAATTATATAAATATTATAGTATTTAAATGCTACATTATTATTATTATGAGGCATCAATTTTTTCTTAAAGAATAGGTCAAGCCAGACTAGCCTCATTTCTTTTTATCTCATGATTAATATCCTGGCAGATAAGGGAACTTTAACCTAGAGTTTGGCAAAGGATTTGACCAAGTCTCTTGTGTAATTCTTATCAACAAGAAGGGGAGATGTGAGATAGATGATAGCACAGTTAGATGGGTTACAAACTGATTGAATGACCTAACAGTAGTCATTAAGGGTTCAATGTCAGCCTTGGGGGGAGGGGGGAAGGGAGTGCTCTAGAGATCTACTCTTGACCTCCTGCTAATACTTTTATGAAAGACTAGGATAAAGGCATAGATGGTACATCTATCAAATCTGAAGGGAACACAAAGGTAGGTGGGATAACTAACCTACTAGATGTCAGGATTAAAAAAGATCATAGTTCTGTGGCTTTAAGACTTAGGGCTCATGTAGTTCAATCCCCTTATTTTACAGCGAGGGAAACTGAGGCCCAGAGAAAGTAAGATGTCCAAGGCCACATGGGTATTAAGTGATAGATCAGTGATTTGAACTCAGGTCTTCTAAAACCGGCACGCTTTTCCCCTACACCACGCTGACAGACAGGCTAGAACAGAGGGCTGGACAAGAGGCCTAATAGGGCCTTCCCACTCTAACTCTATAACCCTATGAACATTGAGCTGACCCTAAAATGATGAGATTTAATAGGGAAAAGTCTTCCATTTGGCTTTAAAAAATCAGCTTCACAGGGCTAGAAAGCAGTTCATCTAGAAACGACCGGGGAGTTTTACGACATCAATCTGTCAACAATGGTAGCTAAAAAGCTCCAGCGTACCAGGGTCCAGGACTAGAAAGGCGACAGATTGTGAGACTCAGCTCTGCCATGATCCATCCCAGCAATGGGCTGGGCTCTGGAAGCTGGAGAGCGGGTATAGGACTAAAATGGTCAAAGGCCTTGAGACCACACCGCAAGGTGGAGAAACTGAGGTTGTCAAACATGGAAAAAGAAAAACTTAGAGGGGCCATGATAGCTACTCTTCAGTATGTGAAGAGCCATCATTCAAGGGGGAGCAGGCTTGCTTGGCATGGCCCCAAGGGGTAGAATTAGGGTACGACAGGTAGTAATTGCAGAGGCTGACAGACATTTGATTAAGAAAAAACTTGCTAAAAATGAGAGTGGTCCAAAAGTGGAAAAGGTTGTCCTGTGGGGTAGTGCACTCCTCCTCACTAGAGCCTTAGCTAGCAGACTGCTTGTGGGTGTAAGGAGATTGCTGTTTAGGTGCGGGTTAGTCTAGATGGCCTTTGAGGTCCCTTCCAAAGGGCACTTGGTGATGCTGTAGGTATGGAGCCAGAATGTTCAAGTTCAAATTCTGAGTCTGACATATGAAAACTATGTGACCTTGGGAAAGTCACTTCCCTTCTGCAGCTCTGTTTCCTCACTGCTAAAATAATAGCTAATATTTGTTGAGTTGTTTTTCAGTCATGTCTGACTCTTTGTAACCCCATTTGGGGTTTTCTTGGCAAAGACACTGGAGTGATTTGCTATTTCCTTCTCTAGCTCATTTTACAGGTGAGAAAACTGACGCAAATTGGGTTAAGTGACTTATCTAGGGTCGCACAGCTAGGAAGTGTCTGAGGTCATATTTGAACTCAGGAAGATGAGACTGCCCGACTCCAGGCCCAGCGCTCTATGAACTATGGCACCCCCTAGCTGCCCCAATAGCTATTAAGAGCTAGCAATTTTATAGCACTTCAAAATTTGCAAAGCACTTTACAAATATTGTCTCATTTTATCCTTCAACAACCCTAGGAAGTACATGCTATTATTACCCCTGTTTTACACATGAGTAAACAGAGGCAGACAGTGGTTACATGACTTCTCCAAGATCGTACAGCTAGTGAGTGTCAGTGAGGCCGGATTTGAACTCAGGTCCTTCTGACTCCAGGTCCAGTGCTCTATCCACTGAGCCACCTGGCTGCCTCATAAATGAGGGGGTTGTAACCAACACATTCTCTAAAGTCCCTTACCACTCTGGGGTCCCTATGTGCAAAAACAGGCCAAAACAACTATATGACTCTTGACCCTCAATCCCACCTCCAATAATTCTTCTTCCTTCTTCTAAGGAAGTTCTGGAATCATGGGATGTCAGCCATGGAAGACTCAGTTCACAATTTCCTACACAATCCTCATTTCTCTTCTTTGTCTATTAAAATATTTCTGACTGTTGGTGATTAAATTTATAACAAAAAAAGAACATTTAAAAAAGAAATCAGGGCAGCTAGGTGGCGCAGTGGATAGAGCTCTGGTCTTGGAGTCAGGAGGACCTGAGTTCAAATCCAGCCTCATACACTTAACAATTACTAATTGTGTGACTCTGGGCAAGTCACTTAACCCCGATCGCCTCACCAAAAAGCAAAAAAAAAAAATAAATAAATCCGTCAATTCTTCAATTCCAAAAACCTCTAAATATTTACAGCTCCTTCCCTTAATCCTTTTCTCCTTCAAACTTTACCTCACCCAAACCAGACATCAGATCCAGGTTCCTTCTGCCATCCCTCCAGGCCTCCCTGTACCAAGCAACTGGCTCTTCAGAAGCAGGAGAACATGATACATGATGACCACAATAACGTCAATTATCAAAGTGGAAAGGCTTCAGACTTAGGAAATGCAATGGCCAGCCACAACTTCAGAAGGCCTATTTTCTGCCTATTGGCAGAGAGATGATGGACTAGAGCTGTAGAATGAGACACGCATTTTCGAACCTGCCAATGTGATATTTTGCTTGCATCTGCTTATTTGCTATAAGGGAAGGTTGGTATGGGGGAAGGGGGACGAGTTAATAGGATGTGACAGTAAGGATTGAAAAAGAGAAGGTTATCAATAAAACATCTTTTAAAATATAGTAGAAAAACAAAAAGAAATTGGGAATGGAGCATAATAAAATAGGGCAATTTTATTACCAGCTGGTTAAATTTAATATAGGGAGATAAGGATAGAGACTGGAACTCCCGGGTAAGGAAACTCCCTTTACTGATGCAGATTGATACCTTCTCTGCAACTTACAGCCTTAAAGAACTTCCCAGGGGGGCAGCTAGGTGGCGCAATGGACAGAGCACCGGCCCTGAAGTCTGGAGGACCTGAGTTCAAAACTAGCCTCAGACCAAACACTTGACACTTACTCGCTGTGTGACCCTGGGCAAGTCACTTAACCCCAACTGTCTTAAAAGAAAAAAAAAAAAAGAACTACCCAGGGCACAGAGAGGTTGAGAGACTTGCCCCACTGTCACACAGTGGGATGTACACACAATATGTGTCAGAAGTGGGATTTGAATCTCGGTCTTCCTGGCTTTTAGGCTATTTCTTAATCCACTACCCCAAACTGCCTCTAAGTTTACTACATAACTTTTTAAAGTCAAGAGACTGGCTCTAATAGCTGCTACATAGTCCTTCCCCTTTTTTCTGGACCCAAATTACTGTTAACCCTACCTTGAGGTCTCTGTACACCACATTCTTCTCAGAATGCAAGTAGTCCAGTGCAGACACAATCTCTGCCCCGTAGAACCTGGCTCGGTCTTCGGAGAATACCCGCTCTCGGGAGAGATGGAAAAACAGCTGTGGAGGCAAAGACATGTTATCCCTCCTCGATGCCCTCTTTCCTGAACTTGGGATGAAAAAGCTGCCTTCCTTATTATCAGCACTGAGGCAGGCATGGGGAATAAAATGATGACTGGCCCTGCCGACCACCTTCTCCTGTTTGTCACAAAGTTTTGTGTACTACAGAAATTCCTAAAATTTCGATTCAAACCTTCCTGAGGGGCCTACTGAAGACAGGGCACTCTGTACACTCAAGTACTGTCCAAATAACCAACCAGGCTAGAAATGAGTCCTGGAGGAGGAAGCTAATGTCAGCATTCAAAACCCTAGGCCCAGAAACCTTTGGAAGAAGAGGAGCAGGCAGGAAGAACACTAGCCTGGCCTCAGGAGGCTTAGGAGGGCAGTCCCCCTTCTTGCCTAGAGAAGTCCTAGGCAGCAACCAAACCCCATCTCTAACGGACCATTTTCAAACATAAGGGAAGGACTCCCACCTCTGTAGTATCTAAAGTCTTACTTTCTTTATAACCTGTAATACCTCCACGAAGTAGGTAGTTCAAGCATCATCATCTCTCTTTTACAGCTCGAAAAAAACAAAACAAAAAAAAACAAAACCACAAGCTATTATTAAGTGCCAGAGCAGAGATATGAACTCAGGTTTCATAGACTTCATGCCCAGCTCTCTTTCCACTAGCATCACAAAATCTATTGATCTTGATAATGTGAAATTCTTCGGTCAAACCCCAATACAGTCAGTTTTACTTTAAAATATACTGGATCCAAACCACTACTCCCCTCCACACACCCTCCAAGGGCCCTGGGGGAGATCTCATTCTACCACAAAGTTTTACTTCTCCTCCTTCCCACAGGTTCAGCTCTGGGGAAGGAAAGGAAGGAAACAAACATTTATTAAGCATCTATTGTGTGCCAGGCACTGTGCCTCATGAGTGCTTTACAAATATTATCTTATTTGCTCCTCATAATAACCCTGAGAGGTAGGTGCTAGTATTATCTCCATTTTACAGTTGACAAAACTGAGGCAGAAAGAGGTGAAGTGACTTTCACAGAGTTACACAGCTAGTAAGTGACTGAGGCCAGAATTGAACTCAAGTACCCCTGACTCCAGGCCCAGTGCTCTATTCTTCTGTATCACCTAGCTGCCTTAACCTATTTCTAAGCCTAGCAGATAACTTAGAACAGGGATGGGGAATCTGCGGCCTCAAGGGCACATGTGGCCTGACTTAGTATGTTTACTAGGCAGTAAGTTGCCTGGATGTTGTTTAATCCTCTCCGATGGTCTCTAAACCCCTGGGAGTTGGGGAGGGAATGCAGTGCCTCAAGTAAGACCATCCAAACAAACAAACCAAAAAAAAAAAAGATCCCATGGATAAGAGAGCTGACTACACCCCAGTCACAGCCGCTAAGTTTCTATTTTAGCACATTAATCATCAGTGTGTTACTGCTTCCTATAACCAAACAGGCTAACCAGAATCAGAAAGTGAAGTATTTCTGAAGTTGAGGGTGCAGAGAGCATCTCCCCCACCTCCAATGAATCCTTCACACGCTGCCTATTTTCTTCCTACACAGATTTGATCATATTACTCTGCTCTAAACATTCTGTGGTTCTCTATTGCCAAGTCAAGGTCAAGTTCATCTGCATAGTATCTGAGGTCCTCCACAGTCTGGAAGCATGCCAGCCATTCCTGCCTAAGAGCTCCAATTATCCTCTCTGCACACAGTTAATAAATAATAAAAGCTAACATATACATAGCATTTACATGTGCTGAGCACTGTGCTAAGCACTTTACAATTATGTCACTTGACATAACCCTGGCAGGTAGGTACCATTATTATCCCCATTTTACAGGTGAGAAAACAGAGGTAAACAGAGACCCTTGCCCAGGGTCTCAGACCTAATGAGTATCTGAGGCTAGATTTGAATTCAGGTCTTCCTGACTCCAAAGCCAGATGTTTATGCTCCAACCAAACTGGACTCCTCTCTACCATCCCCAAAAGGCCCTGTGCTGTCTCACCTCCATGGCTTTGCTCACAGAGTTTGCTTTGCCTGGAATAACTTCCCTCCCCTTCTTCACCTACTTGACTTCCTATTAAAGGCCAACTTGTAGGCCGCGTTTCCCACAAAGCCTGGACTGATCCCTGAGATGTCACACCATCTTTCTTCAGGAAATCCACTCCAATGCATTTGTCCTGTAATATCGTGTACCATAGCTATCTGCATACCTTACAAGTGAATACCACGAGGATGGTGACCATATCTTATCTAAGCTTTTTATCTTCCTCAGTGCCTGGCACCGTTCTCTGTCCACGGCAGGCAGGCAGTGATACTGGCTGTTACAAACATCAGGCCTCCCTCGGATCTGCACCCCTACCTGTCAGGGGTGTGATCTCCTTACCTCTCCTCCATTGGCATACTCCATCACAAAGCATAGGCGGTCATGCGTCTGGAATGAGTACTTCAGTGCCTAAAAAGAGGATCAGACAGGATCAGACACTTCCAGAGAGAAGGAATATCACAGGCCTGCTCATCCCGCTCTTCCCCTCTCCCTAAGTCCTAGAAGTAACATGCCCAAGACGACAGAACTTGGATTCTACCTTGGGTCCTGCCAACTCCAAATCTGAACTCACTAGCCAGCTTTCATTGACGCACTGTCCTGCGGTGCCCTATGTGTGTGTATACATCTCCTCTCCCAATGAAATTATGAGCTGCTAAGAACAGAGGCAGACTCAGCTCCTCTTCCAGCTCTTCCACAAGCGAACAGAATACAAGGCAAAAGAAAAAAGGGAGCTCGGCAAAGATCTGTTAACTTTTGACTGTGAACATAGGGCAGCTCAGTGGTGCAATGCATAGAGCACCAGGCTTGGGGTCAGGAAGCCTCATCTTCCTGAGTTCAAATCTGGCCTCAGACCCTTCCTCGCTGTGTACCGTGACCCTGGACAAGTCTCTTCACCCTGTTTGCCTCAGTTTCCTCATCTTAAAATGAGCTGGAGAAGAAAATGGCAAACCACTCCAGCATTTTTGCCAAGAAAACCCCAAATGGAGTAGTCATGAAGAACTGGACGTGACTGACCAACAACACAATCTCATAGCTGGGGCAGCTAGGTGGTGCAGAAGATAAGAGCACTGGGTCTGGAATCAAGAAGACTCATCTTTGTGAGTTCAAATCTGGCCTCAGACACGTCCGAGCTGTGTGACCCTGGACAAGTCGCTTAACCCTGTTTGCCTCAATTTCCTCATCTGAAAATGAGCTGGAAAAGAAAATGGCAAACCACTCCAGTATCTCTGCCAAGAAAATCCCAGATGGGGTCATGAAGAGTCAGACACAACTGAAAAGCAGCCGAACCTTACAATTAGCAAACACTTCCTTCGTAATACCCCATGAGAAAGGTAGTGTAGATAGTATCAGAGGAGGAAAAAGCCTCAGCAAAGAGAAATTATTTGTCCAGTATTACACAGCCAGTAAGAGGAAATAATGTTTTCTAATGGAAGGAGCCCCAGACACCTGGGTTCTGGTCTTGATCCTGTCACTGACTCAGTGTGTGACCTTGGACCAATCTCTTCTCCTTTCTTAGGTAGGCCTCAATTTGCACCCCCTCCATAAAATGATAGCCAACTGGTCTCCCAAGATCCCTCCCACTTCTGATTCTATGTAGCTGGAACTCAAGCCCAGGTCTTTGACTTCTAGTAATTTTTTTTTCATTGTACTAGTGGTTTATCAAATGGAATGGAATAGAAAAGCATTGATTAAGAAGTTACTAAGTGCTAGTCACTGTGCTAAGCACTGGGGGCATTCATAGGAACTCACTCTAATTGGAGAGACAAAACATAAAGGAGATTTTATGTTTATCTTCAGTTGGTGGCAGAGGGAAAGGCCAGGCAATACTCAGGCAGGGAGGCAGCAGGGC